CACCACTAGTTGCATACATGCTTTAGGATCCTACCTCTGTTTCGAGTCTTGGCCTTACTACTAGTAAGAAGCTACTAGTAACAAAGAGCATCGCTACTAGGAGCAAGGACGCTACTAGGGGCTCCTGGCCACACTACTAGTAACAAGAAGCTACCAGTAACAAAGGGCATCGCTACTAGGAGCAAGGACGCTACTAGGGGCTCCTGGCCTTACTACTAGCAACAAGAAGCTACTAGTAACAAAGGGCATCGCTACTAGGAGCAAGAAGCCACGAACTGTTCACCAAGCAAAAACGGTTTTCCTGCTGGTAAACACCTGGCGTGTGCCCCTGGCAGCGGGAGTATTGCTTTTGAGCGCTGATTGCAACTGCCCGACGAAGTTCCACGGAACAGCGGCGACATAGTATGTTTCTGTGTATTCCTTCGCTGTGGGTATCGGACAAAAACGTGGAGGCCCACCCTGTGGGACTGTGTATTGATGACAATGGGTGTTTGTGGGGTTACGCAAGATGTCCTTGATGTGTTTTGAAGAGACAACTGGTATTATATAGCTAACAGTTTTTGTATCAATAGAGTATAGTTTATTGTTGTGTATTATTATATATATATATATTGTCCATTTCATATATATATATATATATATCAAGCCTTCGAGATGTCTTTGGTGTCTAAAAAGGGACCATTGATCACACATTTTTCCTCCCCATCCCTTCGGATCCTTCGGACAGTTCAGCTTCTCCCAGGAACATGATGTTCCCCTTCGTGGTGCCTTTACGCCACACCGGCGCGGAGCCCGCGGCCATCATGCGTTTCGTGCTGAAGAGCGAGACACGTTTCCAGCCACTCGGGCAAGAGATGGGATTCCAATCCAAGAGTCTTCCAAAGTGAGTTTCTGAAGACTAGTCCTGGGGTTGGGCTGCCAAGCTTGTGGAGTCCTGGGCAGATTTTTTTTGACCATTTGTCACACAACCCAAACTATCCAAACTGGTCATTGCGCCAGCTTAAGGGAGTCAAAGTGTTGTAACTTCTCCAGGTTCTTCTTCCTCATTCTTGATCTTTTGGCCTAAGTTTGTTTCTTGTTCCATTGTATATATATATATATTATATCTGCCCAGAATGGAAATGCAAATGATCTTTGAAGCCAGGCCTGGTCTTCTCTTGGGACCAGGTAGAGGATTTCGATCTTACTTTGACCAGGCAAAGCAAGGCATCAACCATTGAAGATGACATCAGGGAGCAGTACCACTCTGCTTTTCGCGACCACATGAAATGAACCCAAGCCGCCGCAAACAACTGAAATGGAGGAATGTATGCTGATGTGATGGAGGTAGATAATACTCTTCCAAGCTTAGGGCAATGATGGGACAGTTCCTCAAGGACGTTTGTGTCAACAGTTAGTTTGTTTTTCCACTTAAGAACCCTCGTCCAAGAGCTGCTTGTTGGTCGAAGCCTCTTCGACTCGAAGATCGGCTTGATCAGCCTTTTGATGGACTGTCCCCTTTTCGCACTACCTCAATTGCCATCAATTGTCCATTTGGATCCATTTGGGATCATCGGGGATATTCTGCAACAAGTACCAGGAGGACATCCTTGCAACGAATTGTCTCGCACACCGTTGGATTGGTGGCGCCTCTTGACATAGTCAATGGTAGTTACATCAGATGTACATCAGTGCATCTCCTAGCCTTGTGCAATGAGTGTAAATGAAGCCATGGCCTGGCGATCAGAATTTGAGCGCTTTCACAGTATCCAGTAGTGGACGAGCTCCAACACCGCCATAGCATTGTATTCCCCATCCACCTTCGATGTGCTTGACTCATATCGAAAAGGGTTGAGGTTTTCTCAGCGAGGTCAGGTCGAGGCACGACCAGTACCGAGTACTCCATTTGGTGTGCCAAAGCGGGAAGGTTGGAACGGTATAAAGTCCGACAAGTCCCGCTTCCGCTAAGGACCCTGAGATGCAGCTCTCACATGCTCTCACCACGACGCCAGCACGTCCCTACTCCACACAACCCATGCTCAGGATTGAAAGCACATCCGGCACGGGCACGGTCACCGTGCATGCGGAGGGTGGCATCAACAAGTCGCCTTTACGCGGAGAGGAGACGGTTGAATTGTTGGGGATGGGGAGTCAATGGGAAGGACGGTCCATTACTTAGATGGAAGCATGTGTTCAAGAGACTTGTTTTGTTTGATTTCTTTCAGTTGTCCATGTTCCTTTGCTCTTGAAAGCTCTTGCAGTCTTTCTGAGAGAGGAAATAAATGGAAATATACAATACAATATACATGTAAATATATATATATATATATATACTTGTAGGTAGATATAAATATATATGGAATATATTATTTGTATACATATCCTTGTTGGCACGAGCAAGAAGCAGGGGCTCGATTCTCCTTGATCAAGCCAGCACCGCCAAGCACACCTGTAGCTCTCAATACAGGTATATAAGTAATCAGTACCGGCCCCAACACCAGACTTGCTTGCGTACAGGGCCAACATGTACATATATGCAAATAAATATATATATATATATGTTTGTTCTGTTGCCCCTTCATAGTTTGCTCTTCTTTGCATTGGGAACCAATCTCACTGCACTTAGGCCTGTGTGCCTGATACCAGTCGCGTTTCACTCCTGAAGTCTGGTGCGCATGGTGATATATATATATACACATAGTTGTTCTATTTAACTATATTTTGCTTGGCACCATACCAATGAAGACTCTCTATGATTTCAATCAATTGCCTTTACATTTCTACGTATAAGGATCATTGGGAAGATCCCAGGAGCTTAAGTTACGAAAGCCAGCCTTCGTAGAAGGCGCTAGCGGAGTTGTGTCTGGCGAACGAAGTGAGTAGTTAGGGGGTCTGGGGGGGTGGCCCGAGAAAGGTATACGTCAACTCGGCACATGCTGGGGGAGGAGGGTGCTCCGAGGGAAGGTTTTTTGAGGTTGTGTTGGAGGTGATTTTTGACGGGTGGTGATGCAAGAAATGCCAAGTGCATCGTTTGCATCATCTGAATGGAAAGGTGTAGTTGGCACCTTGCAAGGTATAGAGACCTAGGGTAGCCATAGTGCAGCTACCAGGTATAGTACTTCAAGTTGCCTTTCCGTCAACCGCTTGAGAACCTCTACACACGCACAGCAATCCACAGCTTTGAAGTCTCATTCGTGCTTTGAACTTGTATAGGTGTGTAAGAGGTATAGCAACATAGTATTTATACGGACCCAGGGTAGCTACAAGTAGCTACAGTTCTGTTCCCGGGTATGGCGCGCATGAGGCTTCAAAGCTGTGGTTTTCAAGCTAAATTCAAGGTGGCCTGAGACCAGGGTTTGCTGCCCTAAAGCACTCTGTTCAGGCCACCTTGAAAATAAAGGTGTAGTTGGCACCTTGCCAGGTATAGACACCCAGGGTAGCTATGTAGCTGTGGTTTTCAAGCTAAATTCAAGGTGGCCTGAGACCACGGTTTGCTGCCCTAAAACACTCTGTTCAGGCCACCTTGAAAATAAAGGTCTTGTAGCGACAATTCTGTTCCCAGGTATGGCGCGCATGAGGCTTCGAAGCTGTGGTTTTCAAGCTAAATTCAAGGTGGCCTGAGACCAGGTTCAGGCCACCTTGAAAATAAAGGTGTAGTTGGCACCTTGCCAGGTATAAAGACCCAGGGTAGCTATGTAGCTGTGGTTTTCAAGCTAAATTCAAGGTGGCCTGAGACCACGGTTTGCTGCCCTAAAACACTCTGTTCAGGCCACCTTGAAAATAAAGGTGTAGTTGGCTATAGTGCAGCTACCAGGTATAGTACTTCAAGTTCCCTTTCCGTCAACCGCTCGATAGCCTCTACGCACAGCAATCCACAGCTTTGAAGTCTCATTCGTGCTTTGAACTTGTGTAGGTGTGTAAGAGGTATAGCAACATAGTATTTATACGGACCCAGGCTAGCTTCAGAAGAGCACTCCGATACTTCACTTACAGCACTCCTTGAAGAGCATGAGTCGCTTGCGCATAGCCACCAGAAACAAAGGATCTTAGTCTTACTGGAAGTGGAATGAAACACCAGGACCTTCAGAATGACCTCTTTGGAGTCTCCAAGTGACCTCATTCGGGACTAAGTGACTAAGTGACCTCATTCTGGGATCTCGGACGGTCACTTTGAAGGTCCTGGTAGACACCAAATGATGTCAATGTGGATAGATTTGGCTACGGCCTAAAACATCGGATTCCATCCAAACCCCCCCCCTGTGCAGAGGAAAAATCCGGGCAAAATGACACCGAACCCCTCAATTGCCAGGAAGCGCAGGTTTTTGTTTTGACATGGTTACCTCTGTGTGGGCAGAACAAGACATGAAGCAGATTTGACACGCGGCCGCAAGCAGCTGCGCGAGCTCATTTGCTTGCTTCCACGCGCAGTTGTCGAGAAAGGGAAGCGCTGGCTTTCGTTTTGCAGCTTCTCAGGTTGGGATCGTGGTGGTAGCAAGAGTTCCATTTGGTAGCAGGCTTTAACGGGAAGATCCGCTAAAATGCCATCCTCTTGGAAGAATGTGTTGGTTGCTCTCCAGTAGCGCTGCAGGAAGCCGAGATAGACCAGGCGGCAAAGGCGAACCCTGTGGACTTGGAGGAATTGAGATCCCGGATCGATGAGGTTGTTCCCACCAAGGACAGTGGGCACAGGAAGGAACCAGCCAGCGACCACAGTTGTGCCAGCTTGGGGTTTGCACGGACTTGCTTCATTGGTTGTTGTGCCGACTCATGAGTTATTGCATGTGTTCATCCATTCCTCAAAGCGGATGGAGGTGCAGTTCTGATAGATCTTGAGCATCCACAAGATTGCATGGCCCATCCCCAAGTCGACAGAATCCTCCCTGGACGCATGTCAATGTGGTGACTAAGTATACACATGCCATGTCAACATCTGTCAACTGATCTCATGGGCGTTCGCAAAGTTAATGCCTCCAACCTGCCATGCACCTCATGTGTCACAGATCTAGGAATCAAGGCCCTTGCAAAGTCTAAACTTATGTTCTACTGCATACGACCCTCCATAATAGTGCGACGTGTTGCGTGGACCGTCACAGCAACATCATGGCAACACCCCAGCCACACCCTGCAACATGCACCGTTGTGCTTTACCACGCAATCTGACCGTTTACATGATTCCACCCGTTGTCACTGCATCAAATATGGGATATTCGATCTTGGCAGCGAAAAACGCGTTGCGTAGCTGTTGGAACCCGGACCCCATCGTGGGCAGCAGGCGGTCACAGTGGATTGGGTGCCTCCCTCGCAGGATGTGTACGCCGCCATCGATGGTGTTGGCCTGTATTTGGGGCCCATGTTCCAAACGGCGAAGCAGCTTTGGCGGAAAGAGCCTGAGGAAGGAAGTGAGAGCAAGGCACATTGCTGGGGAGCCAGAGCGTTCCTAGGAGGCTTAAAGAGTGGTGGGAGTTGTCCTAGGTGTATGATTGGATGATTTGTAGCAGATTGTAGCATTAGATGTTACTGTAGATATATTTATATGTAATTATATATATCTATATATTGGCTATTTATAAATATCCCAGCCGCCAAAAGATATAACAATTCCTGTGATAGGGTCTGTTATGTTAGAGGCGGTTTAAGTTGGCATGCGATTGTTTGACGTTGACTAGGCAGTTAGCAGATCATGACTGCCCATTTAGCTTTGATTCAAGTACAGTACTTTACATGTCAGCCAATTTCCAAGTCTGTTTTGTTGGCTTCCCCTGCTCACCTGTTCGTATGTTGGCACCAAGTTCATCCAAGTTCTGCTAAAGACAAGAGCTACTAGGGCCCATGTTGAGGGCTCTTCCATCCAGGGCAACCGGGTTAAGAAACTCAAGGCTGAAACATTTCCGCCTGTTGCCCCGACTTGACAACAAAATCAGATCCGAAGAGGCTGCGGCCAGTGGCCAGTATCGGACATTGGACTCATCTCTCCCCATCACATGGTACCTCACCACTCCTCCCGGTCCCTATCCATTGGGCCTCCAACTTTTCCGTGCATGTGTGCGCAGGTGATTGAAGTCCTTGGACGAATCTGGGCCAGAATGGCCAGTTGGTAGCGCACTTGCCAGATGTTGGACTTGACTGGCCTGATTAGTCCGTAGGTATCCAACAATGATGATTCACCATTCACACCAGAGTGTCTTTAGAGAAGGTGGTGAGGACCTGCAGGTGTTGAAGAAGCCTTTGGATGTGGTGTAGCACATTGACATCCGAGGATTGAAGCTTGATGACGGTGTGCCCAATGTGGGCCGCGCACTCAGTCAACCTTTTTCCCGAATGCGTAGCGAAGGGTTCTCGTTTAACTCTGGGGGTCTGGGGGTAGAGAGTCTTGTTCGCGATCCGTTGTTTCTATGTTCGCAACCGTCCGCAACCGTTCGCAACCGTCCGCAACCGTTCGCAACCGTTCGCAACCGTCCGCAACCGTTCGCAGTAGGACGCTAAGGCGCTGCCATTGGGGGAAGCTTTTGCAAGTGACTTTTCATGGATGTGTCACGTGTCAGTTTGCGACGCTATTCCATTGTGATTTGCATGAAAATGACATGTCGCGCAAGAAGCGTGATGCATTTCGCTGCACAGGCGCAGTGGTTTGAGAGATCCGCAGTTTACTGCGCAGTTCCATTGGGATTAGCGTTTGGAGAGTCGTGTTTTTGGGGTGTTGGGTGTGGCCGTGCCATTGGGATTTGCATTTCAGGGTGTGGCATCGAAGCTCTGTTTTCGCGACAAGTCTCAGCTGAAATGGCGATTTTGGTGGATGGGAGTGTGCTCAGAACGGGTCGAAATCATTCTAAACGTGTGGTGTGGTGCAAATTTTGTTGAAGCTCATGTGAGATGATATTCTCACTTTTCGTGGCAGGCACAGTACTTTGTGCTGATTTTGAGGTGTGGAAGTGCGATTTTCGTGGCAGGCGCAGGAAATCGTGAGGTTGCGAGGTGTGACGGAGTTGACATTTCGTGGCAGGCGCAGTACTTTGTGCGCGTTAGACGTGTGGATGCGGAAAGATTCGTGGCAGGCGCAGGGAATCGTGAGGTTGTGAGTTGTGGTAGAGGTGACTGTCGTTGTCTCATTGGGATTGGCGTGTGAGCGGGTGTTGTTTGGAGGGGCTGGAATCGCGAAACTGCTTGGCAGGGCTGCGTGATGTGTGTGCTCCGATGGGTGTTTCCGCTTGACTTTTGGAGGAAGTCTTGTACGAAACGCTCGTTTTGGAGACTTTGACACGTGAGTTTTTGAGGAAGTCTCGTACGAAACGCTCGTTTTGGAGACTTGACATGTGGCTTTTGGAGGAAGTCTCGTACGAAACGCTCGTTTTGGAGACTTGACGTGTGACTTTTGGAGGAGGTCTCGTACGAAACGCTCCGTTTTGGAGACTTGACGCGTGACTTTAGGAGGAAGTCTCGTGCGAAACGCTCGTCTTGCAGCCTCGAAGCGTGACTTTTGGAGGAAGTCTCGTACGAAACGCTCGCGTGACTGCTTCTAGTGTGTGGGCAGACCGTGTCGCGACACGAGTGTCCCACAAGAGTGTCCCACAAGAGTGTTCCACAAGAGTGTCCCGCAACCGTGTCCCACAAGAGTGTCTCACAAGAGTGTCCCTTAAGAGTGTCCCACAAGAGTGTCCTATAAGAGTGCCCCACAAGAGTGTCCTACAAGACCCACAAGAGTGTCCTACAAGAGTGTCCCACAAGAGTGTCCTGTAAGAGTGACCCACAAGAGTGTCCTACAAGAGTGTGTCACAAGACTGTCCCACAAGAATGTCCGACAAGAGTGTCCCATAAGAGTGACCCACAAGGGTGCTTTTGAGAGTGTCCCACAAAGAGTGTCCTACAAGAGTGTCCTGTAAGAGTGACCCACAAGAGTGTCCTACAAGAGTGTCTCGCAAGAGAGTGTCCCATAAGAGTGACACACAAGAGCGCCCCACAAGAGTGTCCCACAAGAGTGTCCCACAAGAGTGCCCCGTAAGAGTGGCCCACAAGAGTGTCCTACAAGAGTGTCCCACAAGAGTGTCCTACAAGAGTGTCCCGCAAGAGTGTCCTACAAGAGTGTCCCAAAACAGTCCCCCGCAAGAGTTTCCTACAAGAGTGTCCTACAAGAGTGTCCCACAAGAGTGTCCCAGAAGAGTGTCCCACAAGAGTGTCCTACAAGAGTGCCCCACAAGAGTGTCTTACAAGAGTGTCCGACAAGGGTTTCCTACAAGAGTGTCCTATAACAGTGTCCCACAAGAGTGTCCCACAAGAGTGTCTCACAAGAGTGTCCCACAAGAGTGTCCTACAAGAGTGTCTCACAAGAGTGTCCCACAAGAGTGTCCTACAAGAGTGTCTCACAAGAGTGTCCCGCATGTCCCACAAGAGTGTCCTACAAGAGTGTCCGACAAGAGTGTCCCATAAGAGTGACCCACAAGAGTGTCCCACAAGAGTGTTCTACAAGAGTGTCTCACAAGAGTGTCCCACAAGAGTGTCCTACAAGAGTGTCCCACAAGAGTGTCCTACAAGAGTGTCCCACAAGAGTGTCCCACAAGAGTGTCCTATAAGAGTGTCCCACAAGAGTGTCCTACAAGAGTGTCCCACAAGAGTGTGCTACAAGAGTGTCCCACAAGAGTGT